ATGAGTCTGTCTCCGTAACTGCTGCCTCCGTTTCTCCGCCCTTCATTGCCTGGCGTCAGGGACAAACTCCCTTTGATCTTCCCCCCTGCTCTGAGTCTGAACCCTGCTCAGGGTCCTCCACATCTTCCATAGCAGACTCATAGGGGTCCTCGCTATCAGAGTCCATCAGCAACTCCAACGGCTCCTGCTGGGCCACAACACATACCTTTCTTCTCACCTTGTAACTCGCTGAATCACATTTAAAATCTGTGTGATGCCTGACATTCTGCAGCCTCTCAAATCATATTTCTGTATTTATTTTAAGAGATATATCTCAGCTTGGCAGTCCATTGTTGTGACTTGCAGGCAGCTACTGAGACTTTCTATTGAAGGGGGTGATGGCATTTTCATGCAGATGCTAAGGCTTATATTATCTTCTGATAAGAGTCAATGTTGCTTCTAAAAGGACAAACTAATACAAATGTAAATAAAAGAGCCTCCATTACCTCTTGGACATCTTCTGGATTTTTTCTTGAAACAATCTGAAAAACAAAAGCAAGGTCTTTTTAATGCTCAAGGTTTTCAAAAGAATAAAAAATAACAAATGAAACAATACAATTAACACAGACTGAACTAGCAAATCTGTTTTATTGTGGAATCCTTGGTGCTCTGTGAGTTTAGTTGTGTGTTTGCAGATATTTCATTAACCAATTAGATAACATCATCAATGTGGAAGAGAATATGGGTGTTACATGCACTCCTGGATCCAATTTATGGTCGCTCACACACATTTACAGCCCTGGTGGTCAACAACCAGGAAATAATTAAACAATTGCCTCATATCACTTTCAACCAAACACTGAGGCATGGCAGATTCTTTAGAATTCATTAAGTGATCCAGTGAATCTAACATAACAGCAACACTTTACTGGTTACAATGTACACTTGCTCTTTCTCACATGCACACACCTTCCAGGTCCTCAATTAGACTATCAGGCACTAGGATCAGTGTTTCTCAACCTTGGCGACTTTAAGTCCTGTGGACTTCAACTCCCAGAATTCCCCCAGCCAACTGGGAATTCTGGGAGTTGAAGTCCACAG